CCAATGGAGGATCGTACTTATAAAAATGGAGGAACGAAATCATGAAATTATGAAATTAAAAAAAAGAAAAAAGAAAAAAGAAAAAAGAAAAAGGAAAAATAATAATTGCATCAAAGGTTGCTTTTTTGACATAAAATAGGGGAGTGGGTGGGCTTGGCTTGGCTTAGCTTAGCCCCTGGTTTTGGTTTTGGAATTATTTGGGGGGTTTTTCTCATTATTGCTTTAAAGTTCAAACCACTCTATCCCTTTTTTATTTTTATTTTTTATTTATATTATCAATTTTATCTCTAATTTATTAATTTGGTTCTTTTACTCTGGCTTAGTTTCAATTTCGACCCACCTGAACCATAACATAGCTATTAAGAAATATATTATAGATTAAAAGTTAGAGGTTTGAAGCTCTCATCCCAAATGATTTTGTTCTTATAAATTACTATCTAGTTTGTATCTATTTTATTGATGAATAATAATATTTATCTTCTAACGGGTAGGTAGGACTTTTCTATTGACCAATATTATTGATAAGTAGAAGAGAGAAATAGGAAGAAGAAAAATAGAATTTTACTTTTTGGAAAAATAAATAGCTATTGAATTTTTAATACTAACCATTCATCCTTGAGGTATTTTTATAATAAAAATAAGAAAAAAGGAGTAGATTTTATAGTGGGTATAAAATGATTAATTTAGAAACTGTACGTGAAGTTTAATTATTGAAACTTTAATGTTTGTTTTATTTTAATAGTGATAATAATCCCAAATCCCAATATTGTATTTGAAGATGGGCCACTTTGGGTTTATTGTGATCTTTAAAACCCTTTTTTTAAGAGCATATTTGATTTGGGAATATTTTAAAGAATATTGTGGTTTTGGAATTGTTAAGAGTAATTTCATGTGCATTTCATGAAATAAAATTAAAAAAATCCTCTTCACATAAAGATCGTCTCAATTTATATATATATTTTTAATTAATTTGTTCATTGTAGTACAAATTTAACTTCAAATTCAAGGGATTATACCTTGTAAGTTCTAGCTCGATGACATTATAAGAAATTTAAAGGTTATTTAAAAGTTACACATAAAAATTAATTTTAAGATCATATATGTTCACTATGTTATATTATTTTAATTTTCAAATGCCTTCGTTTGGTGCAAAAAAAATATATATTTAAATAATTATCATTTTACTATTATTTTTCATTTTCTTCTTTATAAATTATTTGACACTTATTTTTTATGTTCATTTATTAAATAAGTAGATATCTACGTTAACAAATGTTTTTAATTATAGAAAGCAGGTCAGATGTTAGGTTCTAGAACGATTTTGAATTCAATAGAATTTTTTTAATGTAAGCTTTAAAAAATTAAAACATTGCAACAATGTTAAGCGTTAACAAAAAAATTTGTTAACAAGAGAATTCAATCTCGATGTTGCATAGAGTGCACGCTACTAGATAGACGATTTGAGAAACTATGTTGACATGAGCACAGTTCAATTAGTTAAAAAATCTCTTTAAATATTAGATGTTATTCATATCTCACCGTATTGTGGAACTAAAAGAAAATATTTAAGAATGCAGGGCCGAAAATAAATAAAATAATATTTTTTATTTTGACAACTAAACTAGTATTTAATTATTGTTTTAAATAATTAAATGCATTTGGTAAGACAATTTAAGGAAAAAACAAACGATCCCCAACAAATTTTGTAGAAACTATAATATATTTGAAGGAGTAATTTATTAATATAAGAAAAATATGTGAACGAAACCTGGGTCGTGGAAAGAGATATTTGAAGAATAGAAAATAAAATAAATAAATTAAATGAAAACGCAATAAAATAAAAAAAACAAAAGTAGTTTTCAAGTGCCAATTATTTTAGATGATGTCATTGTCCAATGATTATGACTCCCTCTAATTTCTAAGGGGGAGGAGTGGTCCCCGCAGTGGGCCCGCCTTCACGCACAAGAGATTCCGTTTGTTTTCGGCTACATCTGCGACACGTGTCAGCGATCGGAGGCGCTGGCACAGCTGTAGGTTGATGGAGCGTCTGTAGTGGAACCGGCTCACGTCGTCAAAACCCGACGACAATAATTGAAGGCGATTACTCAGACCACTATGGATGGGTTAAACGACACATCGTTGGGAGCCCACTGGTATTAAAGGGTAGGCCCCATATTCTTAGGCATCGAAAACGACAGGTCGGACCTGGAGTCCCCGGGTTTCTAATTCCCGCTATGTCCTTATTCGCCTGAAAAGACTGTAATACCCTTCCTTAATTCCAAAAACCCATTATCCAACTCCCACAGGACACTTGCTACTTTCGTTTTCTCTTACTTTAATCATTGCGGACTATTTTACCCCTCTTTGGTCTTTCAATTCTCAACTTTGTCCTTTTCTCTTGGTTAATCTTTTTTTTTTCTTTTAAATTTTAACTAATGCTATAATTTTTAGTAAATTATTTTTAAAATTCAATATTATTGAATTTTAATTTAGAGCAATATTTAAAACATGACAAAGAACTTATTCATAGGTAAATAATATAAAATCTTTTAGGCATCTATCCATTCTAGTAAACAGATCAGTTTTACAAAT